CAGTTTTTGGAAGAGGAGAAAACTCATCTAGGACACATTAGAACCAGACAATCTTCAGTGTAGATAATCAAATCAGTGTCGACTCTCTTGAATTTGACACTTTAAGTGAGAAAACATCCCTGTGGTTGGTAAAAACATTCTGCTGCATATAGCAACAGAGAGACACAGAGACCAAGACTAAAGCTATTCTCAGCTGTCACGGGGAGAATGTGCTTCAGAAAGAGGAGGGTGGCAAGACACACAGAGAAAAGACAGTCACTAGTGATCTCTAGTAAGAGCTAAACAGGAGTGGTTTGTGCTATTCTTGTAACTTGGTTGTAAATACTGAAACTGGTTTAAAATGAAAAAGAATGTTAGATACTCTTTCCTTGATTTTTAAGACATTTTTAAAGATGAAAGATGCTGAAGGACAGTGGCCTGCATGCTTTCCTGAGCAAAGACTCTTGTGCCTTTTCAGGCAGCAGGAGTGTGGCTGGAGGTTGCAGCATCAACAAAAGGACTCGTCCTGGTCCACGGGCGCCGTCCTCTCCGGCAAGCCACCGGGACTCTTCAAAAGATGCCACATCGCGGATGCCGAGGGCCACTTGACCAGCTCAGGTGTGGCTACCCCACAGCACCTTCCAGGGCCCCGCAGCCAGGCAATTCATACTCAAACACTGTCAGGAGCTTCCCGGGATGAGATAACAATGATGAAACACCCAGTCGTCTCCCCCAGGGCGCTCGGAGGTGGCGAGGAGGTCATGGTGTATACAGAGCCCCGAGTGCAGCCTTTGATCTGATTTTAAGCCCGAGACTACCTGTAAAGGGGTCAGCTCCTGGGTTAACAAAACAGTTACAGGCATTTTGTATAGATAGTACATTTTGTTCATTTGTGTCTTTTGTTGTGTGATAAAAGATTGTAGAGTCAAAAGTACAAATGCCGTGGCTCATAGAATCCAACATTAATGCCCTTTCCCGTCTACAGTTTCCTTACACTGTACAATCCAAGGTCATTAGAAGAGAAGATGAATGAGTCTGTTTCCCCCATTAAAGTTCCAGGAGCGACACAGAAAGAGGCGAGGAGAAAAACACAGATAAAGAAACATGGCAAAGGCAAGTGAACCATGCGATTTTATTTTATTTTTTGTAAAACATACTGATGAAACAGCAAATTCTACATAGAGTAATAAAGCGCTTTTGTTAATGTGTAAGCTAACCATTCTGCTTGCTGGTGCCATGACATAAGTATTCCAGTTACCCATCACAGACTATAGGAAAGGACTCATTTGATACTTGCATATTAATCCGCACATATGAAAGTGATAACTAAAGGAAAACGACTGTTTTTCCTAATGCTCACGTGCCTTATTAATTAGGTGAACAATTTGTCAACAAACTAGTGCCTCGTCTGTAATTGCTTCAGCAGGACTTATACTCCGCATCTCCCTAGTACCAAACCTTGAAACGATAAGCTTTCGTGTGCACATGTTCTCCTCCTCCCGAACGGATAACAGCTTATTCAGGAGCCATTGAATTTAATCAACACATGAGCCAAAGACTGTAAAAATACTAAAGCAGGTCAGGGCCGGGGCTCGATCCTACGTGCCTTATTGCAGACATCGTGTCTGTCCCTCTGAGAGTCCTCACATGCCAGGTGTGCTCACAGACCTGAAGACCGTCACCTAGGAACCAGTGACAGCAGAGATGACTGCAGAAAGGCAGATAACTCAGAGTTGGGCAAGGTGGCCTCTTACTGAGCCCTAGGTTGGCCATTTACTATTCTCTCAATAGTTTGGTTTCCTCATCTGGGAAACAGGCTAATAATATTCATCACCCAGATTCTGAGTCTGGGGCACAGAGCCGATGAGCCTCGGCTGTTACTGCAAAAGCACCAACAAGTGGAATTTCCTCCCACATGTTTAACCAAGACTCTGTCATGCATGGGAGTCTGCAGGTCTTCTGTGTCAAGCGCATGAATTTGTTAATACTGCAGGGCTCCTGTCTTGATTGGATTATTAGAATTTTTAAAAGTAGGCCCCCGAACTGTTCTGTTACACAGGCCACTCTGTTTAGTATTTGTTTTGTTTTGCTAAAAACCCATTTTACTATGGTGAGGATGAGATTCCCTTCCTCAGCACATTGTTCACGTGCAGTAGAACACTGCCGCCGTGCAGTGTTGCTCAGCGGCCTTCTGGGGCGCAGTCATATTGCATGACTGAAATGCTATGTTTATTGATTAGCAGCTCCCCCTCCCCCCCAATTCCTCGCTCCTGGCCGCAGCCTTTTCCCGTGTCTCTGAAAGGATGACTGTTTTAGATACCTCACTGTAAATGGCCCATCTTCCATTTGTCTTTCTGTGACTGATTCATTTTACTTAGTGTGTTATCTTCCAGATTCATCTCCGTTGCCACATGCTACAGAATTTACCTTTCTTAAACAGTAAATATTCACTCAGCTGCCAATAAGGAAATTAGCCTGTTTCTACAGATTAGCTATCATGCACAGTGCTGCAGTGAACAAAATTTTGGATAAATGTTTAGAAAAGGACTTTAAAAGTCCTATAGTAGTTCTGGTATTTAGTTAGTTAGTTTTTTTTTATATATAATCTTTCACACTGTTTTCTGTAGTAGCTACATTTTCCCACTGTTTAATAATACCAGTGTCTATTTGGTCCAGTCACTAAGACTTAAATCTTCTGGGTTTTTGATAGCAGCCATTGTCTCAGGTGGTATCAATATTTGATTTGTGCCATAGACCATCTTTTATTCATTTGTCAGGCATTTGTAAGAAGCCAATCTAAACAACCTGAAGGGAGACCAGAGTGGCGTTGGCTAATTGTATCTTCTTTATAGAAATGTTTCTTCAAAGTCATAGTTCACATTTAAATTGGATTTTGTTGTTGCTGTTTTGATACTGGGTTAAACATTGAGCTGTCAGCAGTCTCTTAAATTTTGGCAGGTAATATATATATATATATATATATATATATATATATATATATATATATATATATATATATATATAGACTGCTAATATTTTCTTTTACCCTGTAAGCCATCTTCCCTTTGTCCTTTGCTGTGCAGAAGGTTTCAGATTTGACATGTCTCCACTTAACCTATTCTTGCTTTTGTTATCTTGTTTGCAATATGATTTCCAGGAGATTACTGCCAAGATCAATGCCATGAGAACTTTCTTCAAAGAGTTTCACAGCCTCAGGTCCTAGGCTTCTGTCACTGAAACATTTTTAATTGTTTTACCTCCATAATACAATTGTCCTTATTTACTGATGGAAACTGAAAAAACTGATTAATGGGTTGAAGAGACTGACATTCCTCCAGTGTGTGTTCTTCTCGCTCAATCATTTGTTGTATGTACGACTGCATTTCTGTATTCTTTACTTGATTCCATTGGTCTACATGTTTATTTTCATGTCAATATTATAGTTCTAATTGCTGCTGCTTTGTCGTATGTTTTAAAAGCAGGAAATGTGATGCTTTGAGCCTTGCTCTTTCCTTTTGATGTGGCTGTTTGAGGTATCTGTGGCTTCATGTAAATCTTTTTAAAAAACTTTTTTATTGGTTCTTTGTGAATTTCATATCACGCACTGTAACACCCCCCATCTCTCCCACTTCTCATACCCACCCTTGCAACACCCCCTCAAACAGAGAAAAAATCTTGTGGAAGCTGTAGTGTGTCCCAGTGTGCCCCACAGTGTACCCTTTTGTCCACACTTCTTCGCAATGACTCATTGGTCTGGCCTGAGGCTTCTGCTGCTCAGTGCTGGAACCTCTACTTCTCTCAGAGATCTCAGATGTAGTGCTGGATCTGTACCAGCCCCTTCACGCGCTCCAGCAATTCACGGAGCGGATAGGTGTTGGGGTGGACCACTTCAAAGCCCTGAATCTAGGCCGAGAGGTGTCTGGGCTGGTCAGCCCTCCTGCCCCCTCTCTCACACCCTCAGCGCCGGCTCACCAGCAACCCCTACAACCAGAGCCAGCTCTGCTCTTCAGCACAGGTTGGGTGCAGGATCTGCTCTTCTGAGTGCTGCAGCAGGAGAGGGGCAGGGGCAGCTCTCCTGCTCTCCTGACCTTGGGGCCAGCTCCTCTGCCTGCCATTGGTGGCAAGGGTAAAGAGAGGGGGTCATCTCTCCCTCAGCTCTCCCATGCTCAGGGCTGGCGCACTAGTGCCCTCCCCACAAAGTCAGCTCTGCTGTGCTGCCCAGGCCCGCTCTCTCTCCCAAGTGCTACAGCTGGTGAGGGATAGGGCCAGCTTTCCTGGTTTCATGACCCCAGGATGAGGTCTCCCTCATCCTGTGAGGAGTAAGAGGTGGGGAGGGTATCTCTTCCTCATCCACACCGCACACAAAATGAGTAGTAGGGCAGTTCTTCCATACTTGTATCTGTGGAGCTAGCTCACCGCAGCACAATACTGAGTACTGCAGCTGGCAAGGGTCAGGAGCAGCTCTCTTGCTCTCATGCCCCCAAGGCCAGCTCTCCCCGGATGCCCAAGTGAGGGGTGGGGCTAGTTCTGCATAGCCCTCAGACATTAACAAGTCCAGCCCAGAGCAAAGATGTCTGGCAGGCCTTTGGTAGTAACAGACCACACGTTGTGGTAACAGGGCAATGAATCCAAATGTTGGCCCCCGGTAGCAGCACAGGACAGGACCCCACCACGGTCCTAGGCTGCTCACATCAGCCTGCTGCTCCCTACCCCTAAGTCTACAGTACTGCCTTTCTTGATTGTGCCCGTATCCTTCGGTTTCTCTTTCTTTTCCATTCTCTGCCATTTCTCTGATCCTTTCAGAAGTGCCTGGAGTCTCTGCCTGGGGTTGTCTCAGGAGCAGTCTCAGGAGTGCTATGCCCTGCTCATTCATTACGTCACCAGGCAAGCATCATCTTGGGCATGATCTGCCCCCTCCTCGGGCCTGCACACTGCATGACTGGTGGTCATGTCTGGCCAGCTCCCTGTCCAGGCCCCATGGCACTGGTCCGGTGGTCCTCCCGGGCTCACTTTTTTCAGGTAGTGTTAGGCTACTAGTCATGCATGTGTTCATAGGCCGGAACTCGGAGTGCAGACACAGCCTTCCTCCTCTCTGCCACCCACTGATGCACAAGACAGCAGCCACACCTGCAACGCATCTAGGGGCAGGGCTTCATGTGCATTTTAAAATCACTTCTTCTGTTTTAAAAATGTCATTGAAAAACCCATAGAGATTGCTTTCAATCTATAGATCTCTTTGAGTAGCATGGTCTTTTTTTTTTTTTTAACAACTTTTTATTTATTTTTTTTTAAGCCATGAGCATAAAATAGCCTTCTCTCTGTTTGCATTTTCTCTCCTTGAGGATTTTCCATTTTCAGTGCATAAGTCTTTGACATTAAGTTTATTTCTAACTATCTATTGTCCTTAGTGTTACTATTGGTGAAACTTTCCTTTCCAAAAGGCTGTAAATGTTTAGAAGCACAACTGATTTTTATACTCTGGTTTTGAATCCTGCTACTTACTGAATTCATGTGTTAACTCTGATACCTTTTTCCTCCTTTCCCAGAAGTCTTCTATTTCACATTCTTGCCTAATCACACTGGCCCGGTCTTTCAGTGTGGTGGTGGTCACCCTTAACCTTTCAGGAAAAGCAGTCTTCTTACACCATCATGAGCGATGCTCACTCTGAGCTTTTCATATATTGTCTTTATTATGTGGACATAATTTTCCTTTGTTGGTCTGTTGCACTGAGCTTCATGAAGCCTCGTATGTATCTTGCTTTTTGTCCTTCATCCTGTTACTGTGGCATACCAAACTGATGAGGTCATATGTTCAAGTGTTTATCATCTCAGGGATGGATTCAACTTATTAAATTTGTGTGATGATGAATTTTGTCTTCTAGTGTTTTGAATTTTTTTTGCATTTGTATTCACTATTTTCCTCATTTATAACTTAAAAGTTAATGTCTCACAAACCACAAAGCGTAATAATAAGAAAGGTAAATAAATAAAGATAAACAAATTGTCATTACTAACAAATATGTATAATATACCCAAGCCTAACAATGACATTCTGGCTGGCAAATATTTAGGTGGTAAACTGACTAAAAGAAAAACAGTTGAAGATATTTTCTGGGTTTATGAAGCTGTTTTAATAGTGGATGTTTACCACCAAGAATTAGCATTTTTCTCTAGTAAATTATGTGCTGCCCACAAGGTTAGTTTAAAATTAAGAGGCTTTTAAGTCTGCACTGAAGACTACTTTCACAGTGGTATAAGGAATGGGAACCCTGAACTCTCACGCCTGGCCCCTCTGGAACACTTTTGATGTATCTTAAAAAGGAGCTTCATTTGTGTGAGAAATATTTGGGTATTTCTGATATTCTAGACGGTTGCTCTACAGGTGGCAGACAGCCTGACTCTGTCTACCAAGGCCCCTCTACAACTGCTTTTGTGACTCCAACTCCAGTTCTATGGAAGATGCTTGTGTAAGTTGTGTGCTTATGTTGAGGGGGACAGAAAATTGAATTTTGAAAAAAGGAATTTGCAGAATTGATATAAACAGATGCTAATGATACACTGTAATGATACATCTTCACATCTTTCTTCCTAATCATAAAAGAAAAGCAACGAAGGCTTGAGTAGTTGTGCCTCCAACCTCAGAAGCTGCGGCAGGAGCCAACTGACAGCATCCTCAGATGGAAATGAGCAGGAGAGAACTCTCTTAGGGCTGCCATTGTACATGTCCTTTCCAAATCTGACTACATTCTCCTTATGGTTTCTCTTATTTAGAAAGCCAAGAACCTTGTATATATCTGGGCACAGGGGTCTTATATGAGACTGTGTCTCCAACCAAGGATCGTGTATGGATATAACCTAGAACCTCTGCTTGGATGTAGCCCATGGTAGCTCAGTAACCAAGTGGGACTATTTCTGACAGGAACTCAATGACTGGCTCTTTGACCTCCCCACCCCCCAAGGGAGGAGCAGTCCTGCTAGGCCACAGAGGAGGACTTTGCAGCCAGTCCTGAAGATACCTGATAAAACAGGGTCAGATGAAAGGGGAGGAGGTCCTCCCCATCAGTGGACTTGGAAAGGGGCAGGGAGGAGATGAGAGAGGGAGGGTGGGATTGGGAGGGAATGAGGGAGCGGGATACAGCTGGGATACAGAGTTAATAAAATGTAACTAATAATAACAATAAAAAAGAAAGCCAAGAACCCAAGAGGCCTATATAAATTATTTATCACCAAGAATAGTCCATTCCCAAATTCTAACTCTGATAGCGGCAACAAAGCATATTTAGTGTGACATCAGATGTTGACCTCTGAGCTGAGGAATGGAGCCTGAGTGATCTCAGTTCTTACTAAAGGCAGGTTTAACTTGTTTGTAGAGAACCGTTTGCTCAGTCCAAAAGAAATAAACATCAGGTTTTCACTGTTTGCTTGTTATTTCCCTTGGATAAACTCATTTGTCTGAGTTTAGAGTGAATTGTGTTTGTTCTCTCAAAAACATGAGATGGTGGTAGTTTCATTGATTTACCACAAACATTAAGTACTTTTCCTATTTACTTTTTTTTTCACGTGTATTTTTAGCTGTCACTGCAAATCACCAGTATTGCCCAAAAGATGGATGATGCCTTGCAATAAAAAGTGGGAACCAGAGGGAAAAAATAACCAAGTCCTATGGATTTCAGAAAGCACATTGGAGAGGGTTACTTCCCTCCCCCCCTCAAATCACAAATGCTCTGATAAGTTGAGCCTGGAAAGAATAATGGAATTCCAGAAGGGCCTGTCGCACCAACTCTTGCTGGAAATTAGAGACGCCAATCTCAGCAGGCTGTTGGCAAACGAGCCTGGCAGCTAGTATTTGTAGCCTACACCACCCTCGCGCTCTGCATTAAGCCCATCATTTCTTACCTTCTAAACTCCTAGATCAATCTTTATGTGAAATCAATTTCATGCTTTTCCGTGCAAAAATTGGCAGCCCGAGCTTATCCCTGTCAACACGTGGTGTGACACAGAATCACGTCTGCACATATGGCGGCTTCAGCTGGGGGTACTTCTCCTCTCCTATTTCGTTTCTCCGGGGGCTAGAGTTCTCCTCCACACCATCTCAGGTCGCTCGTTTCATGAATGGCGCTGAGGCATTTAGTGGGGTCTTCATTGTATACAGCGTCATCTGTTGCTGTGAGAAGCACACAGAAGAAAAAAGCCAAAGCAAGATTGCAATTGCGTTTTTCTCTTTACATAAGCAAAACGACACTTCCTAAGAAACACACTGAGAAAATATAAACGTGTGGGTAGCTTACTTAAATGTAGAGATAATGAAACAACCGGGAGGGTGCCCGCTGCGCAAGCATGACGATCTGTGTTTGGATGCCGGCGCCCATCTGGAAACCACACACGGTGGCCTGCAACTCCGACTCTAGCCCTGGGAAGAAGAATCAAGAAGGTAGATGCCTGGAGCTTACTGCAGCCAGTCAGCCAACTGGAGAGCTCAAAGCTCAGTGAGCTACTCCATCTAAAAACACACAAGGCGAGAGCGACAGACAAAGACACTGGCCATCAACCTCTGCCTTTAACAGGCAAGTGCACACAGGCACACATGTAACCACATGTACTTTATACCACAGACATGCACACACATGCACATAAACACACACACAATCTACATACAAGTAAAACAAATACTTTAAAGTTTAAAAATAAGGAGTTGGGACTTGTTATCAACAAACTGGTGTCATCTCCCCCGTGTCTTCTGTTGCCTACTCTCTCCTTTCCTCCCCTCTTCTCCCGTCTCCTTCTCTTCCTCTCTCTTCTACTCCTCACAGCTTCTATAATGTCCTCTTCCTTCCTTACAGGTCAATCTCTCTATCAGATGTCAGAACCAATCAGCGGCCACGCATTCCCAAAGAAGGGTCTAGCAGTGCTTCTGAGCTGAGTTTGGAGGGAAGCGCTTTAGATAAACAATATATTTGCAAGAATGGCCTTTGATCAGTAACAGCAGAAGCAGCCGGGAACCTGCTAAGGAAATAGACTCGGTCCACCCCCACCCCGCAGTAGAACTGTTGAATCAAAACTCTGGTTAGCAATGAACACTAAAGCTTGCAACGACTGGGCTACGACAGGTAAGGCAGCACTTCTACAAGAGCTGCACACAGTATGGTATTGGGGGTGGGGACTGGCCTAGATCCTACAGTCAGGCAAATGACTTTAGGCCAAAATGTTCTATAAAAAAGAATACTGGAGCTGGAAAGATGGCTTGGCAACTTTTCTAAGGACCAGAGTTTGGTTCCCAGAACCCGTGTCAGATGATTCATAATCATCTATAATTTCAGCTCCAGGGAATGCAACACCTGTGGCCTCTGCAGGCCTCTGCACTCACGTGCATATATATATATATGCCCAGGCACATGCGTCTGCACAAACACACACAAGCACCACTTAAAATAACGTAAGTGAAACTTCTGTTTAAAAAAGAAAAGAATGAGATGCAGCGTTTACGTGACTCCGTGGCCAGCACAGGCTTCTTGCATGCCCTTCCTCCGTCATGGACACTTGACACTGGTACCCATGGCTACACAAAAGCAGCATTCGGGATAAAATGGTGATATGAACTTGTAAGGGTAGGCAGTACTGGGGTCTGGGGAGAGAATGAAGGCGCTGTCATTGATGCCTGAACTTCTGTCCCTATGGCTGTAGAAGAATGAGTCTTGTAGAGCGAACAGAGACCTTAGTTTCCTCTACAAGGTGGTTATTAGTGACAGCTTCTCTGAGGTCACGTTTAGCTCTCAAATGTTGTATTATCCCGTGTGACTCTGAGATTGATCCAAAAGTGACCTTGATGACACTCTCTTCTGATTTTGTGATTTTAAATAGAGCATGCTCTCTCCCAAGTAGGTATCAAGATGTGGCTTGTAACCAATTCCTCTTGCGTGGGTAGGGGAGGTAGCTCAGTGTTAATGTGCTTGCTGCAAAGCATAAAGACCTGAGTTTGCATCCTTAGCCCCTACGTGAAACTTGGGCTTGGTGGCATGTGTCTGCAATTCCTCGGGGGATTAGGGGGGCAGAGGCGACAGGTCCCAGGGTTCACTTGGCAGCCGGTCTGTTCAAAATAGTGGGAGAAGGAGAGCAACAGAGAAAGACGCTCAGCATTGACCTCCGTCCCCC